ATAGAGTAATATGGATAAGAGCACAGGAATGTATCTATACTAGCTGGATTCCCCAAACATTCAGCTTTCATATGCATCTATCGGATTCATTCTATCTATTATAGTTTTCGAGTAAATTAATAAAATGTGGAAACACTGCTATTTCGAACGTTCTCATTTCAAATTCAATATCAAAATAATACTAATTAAAAATTGATTGGGAGTGTAAATTGGAGGTTGTGATGATTGAATATTGAATAATCTATAATATATTTATTAAAATATTTATGGTTATTTATACATATACCTACTACGCATTATTACATTTTTTACAAAGCTTAATCATATATAAAATACGAGTACATACAAAATATTGTTATAATAACATATAAATATTGTCAAAACTTGTGAAGAATGAAAACACAAAAGTTGAATTAAAAAAAAAATAGAAACACAAAGTAACTCCAGTCTACGTTAAATTGTAATATGTAATTTATTATATTTAATCATTTTATATTATATTTATTTATCTTCTTCTTCTTTTTTATTAATATGTCAAGAATCTAAGTACTTAACGCCAACTTTTAGATTAAAAAAAGTAGGAAAAAGTACTCCTTCCTTCACTAATGCATATTCATACCAAACCAAAATCGGTGTGTACTATATCACAATTATTTTGCTTCTCGGTAGTTGCTGCCATGTTAAGTTCAACCAAAGTATCAATACTGTTAATGCTAACTCCTTTCAATATCTTTTGTGCAGCCAGACTGGTAAAATTGAAGCTCAAATCGCTTAAACTGGGAAACTGATGATGGCTGTTTTGTCTGGTCAGTGTCTTGAGGTCCTGATCTTTAACGCTAATGTTCGGCTCCGAACCCAATATATTTTTATCCAAAATAGATTGATACGATTTATCCAATGACGTTTTAGAATCGGCGAGTTGTTTGTAAACGTTACCGGCGCTTCCACCAATTGATTCGAACGGTTTCTCGCAGAAACTGTTTCTTTTGAATTCCTTGAAGCTATTGTTAATGGGCGAGTCAGGATTGGAGTTTGATTGGAATTGATCGTGAGAGGTCGAGGGCACGTTTTTGAGGAAGTTTTTATAGTTCAGATCTCGTGATGGCATCTGGAGGGAAAGTTTTCGGCTGTTGTTCATTTGCTCGTTTTTATCATCCGGCTTTGCTTCGATGTTGGTTATTGAATTGTTTAAACTGCTTTCGTTGTTTGTGGTGTTGGTATTTTTAGACCACACGTCACCCGCTTTTGGATTAATTTGGTATCTGGTGGGCTCAAGAATTGGATCGGATCCATTTATAATGACCAAATTCGGGTCTGCGTGTTGTCCATTCTCGAACGTTATTACTGAACGCACAGGCGAATTTTGCACGAAAATCTTGGTGTTGGCTCCGTTACCGCTATTAATAGTGGTTGTTGTTGTGGCGTTGTTCGAAGAATTTGGATAAGATGTGCCGTTTTGATTAGTTGTTACTTGAAGGGTGAACGAATTGCTGTGTGAAACTGAAGATTTAACTTCGGACTTTTGCTTTACGTCTTTGTCTCTCCGTTTTGGAGACCGTTTCACTTTGCTTTCAGCTTGTTGGACTTGCGTCGGATTGCGAGATATTACGGTTTTGTGGGACTCTAAGCTGGAAGGTCCACTGGTCGCAGAGCTTCCAGTCTTGCTGCTCTTGTGAGATTCTATGCTGGACGGTCCGCTGTTATCAAGATTAACCAAAGTTTTAGTTGATGAATCATCGGCAAAGGAGCGCTTGGTGTCGCCTCGTTGACTAGTCTTCAATGATTCCAAACTGGAAGCCTTCGAGTCCTTAAAATTAGCATCGAATTGTTTCTTGGTGCACTGTATCGGTTTCGTTTCTAGCGATTTCACTTCTTCTTCATCGATGTCGTCGTTTGCTGGACAAACTTTAGTTAGACTGCTGCGACTCGTTTTCCTTGAGCTTTCTCGACTTTTCATTGAATGTAGCGGACTTCGATTTGGGTTTCTGGGCAACGTACTGGATGAAGGCGAACCGTATCTTAGACTGGGCGACTGATCGCGGGATTCTATGTAAGAAGTGACGTAAGTAGAATCATTGGACAGTTGCCTTCTATGTCTACGAGGTAGCGTAGCTGATTTCGAGGAATTCGTTTCTGAATTCATGTAGTAATATGGCAAAGATAATGTGGAATCCTCGTCCGCTGTGGATGTTTGAGTGCCAACGTTGTGTAGGTGAATAGCTTTGGAATTGAACCATTCGGTGGGTGGGAATTGGGCGCTGAAGCTGCTTATTTGGCACTGGGAGCGTTTGGATCGTCTGAATATTCTCGATAGCAGCGATTCCTTCTCTGTAATTGAATGTCGTTAATTGAGGTGCACCGAATGGAAATAATGGTAATTACTTGGGGTTGGAGTGTGTGTGGAGTCACTGCTGTTGGGATATTCCGTGCTACTGCTGCTATCCGCGTAGTGTCTAGCCAGTGTCCTTGTGGAAGCCGACCTTCTTAAGCGTCGACTAGAGCCCCAAAGTCTGAAAGAACCTCGTCTATCGGGACTCTTCGGTGACGGGAAAGAGGCTGAACGACGCTTGTTATTGCGAGCGTACATTATTTTATCGCTTGTATTTCCTGAAATAAAACCGTGATTAATTACTGAGCGAAAACTTAACAGATTAGATGCGTGATTATTTGACAAGAAAATCTGCCCGATTCATATAATTGCATTGGAAAGAAGAAAACAAACGCAACAGGCTACACCTTTCACCTGTACGTTGAAGTCAATTGACTGCAGACATCGTTCGAACGTCCTTCAAAGAGGGAAGACGGAGAAAGGATTTTCTTGTATATCAATGCACTCGTTATAAATTATGAAAGATATATAATACCCATTATTTTAGATCGCGCGAAAGGCGACGGCAATTAGCACAAAACATTGTGCTAAATGTTAAATAACCTACCTCCGCAAATAACATCCGCCAAATTGGTTTGAATACACTGATGAGTTACATCTCCGTCTCTTATTGTAGCCATATCTCCGTGAACCAGAACGAGCGCTTCCTCCGTTGACATTAGCATAGTTTTACTGCAGTTTTCTTCGTTCCTTCTGCGACCCCTGGAATGGCTTCGTGATCGTCTACGCCTGAAAGAAGAAAACCAAATAAGTATATTCGTTATTTATATGTGATTCTTTAAACTTACTCTGGCGTGACGATAAAGTATCCTCTTGAACTGTGATACAGTTTTCGCTCTGAGGTGAGTTGAACGAGGGTGTCGTATATGACTCGTTCGCTCGGTGGCGAGACGTGAGGGAATGCCATGATGAGGGCTTCTCGGATGGTCGGGATTCCAGCTGGTCGACCCTGGCTGGAAAGCCTTAATACAACCGCACAGATTGCTTCCGGTAGTGGAGTCCATTGAGTCTGAGGCACATTACTTATCACGCTATCTTCGATATCCTCTGAAAATTGAAAATCGTATCAAGTAACGTCGAGCAATATTTCCTCTCGGATACTTTATAATATGCATAAACGCGATTTCGCCGAACAAGAAAGAAACTAATTTGATAATTTGATACCGCACGTAGAAAGTACGTTACATTGTGACATTTGATTAAAGCCGCAAAAAGGAACGGTGAACGTTGATAAATATTTTCTTATTAATTTAATTAACTGATATTTATCTTCAACTCGTATTTCCCATCACACTCGCCATTATAGAAAACTTAACGACCACTTCTCTAGCTATGTATGTGTGTGTATGTATGTGCTAGTGTGTGTATACATAAGCCATCGAGAAAAACTGTTAACATGGTAGAACGTTTAAATCTGCGAAGAATGTCACGGGCTTGTATTTATTTCACATTTTAGAATAGCCGTACTAAATACAAGACGTATACTTTTAAGTCAAGTTTATTTCAACGTAGACGAAATTTATAAGATGCCAAGCGTGTCGCAGAATATCAATGATTTGAAAGTTGATATTTCTCGTTAACTGGAACTGTGCATCGAGTTTACTAGTTTTACATATTTTTTCACATTTTTTACACAATTCTCATCCAAGCACACATTATTCACAAGATTAATTAGATTGGAATTAGTATTAATTTTAGAAAATTAAATGAAAACATTTCAAAATCATATATAGAAAATTTTAATTATATTTAACTTTATTAGTATAATATACTTTTATTTCTTTTTTAATTCTATTCTATTTATCACAAGTTATAAAAAGCTCAAGAATTAAATGTTGTTAAATCCCATGCTCGTCATCCAATATTAATAAGTAATAAAGTATAATATAAATACATAAAAATACAGAGGTAGTTGAAAATTATAGATTATGCTTTATATAATCCGATATGGTCTAGTGGCTAGGATACCTGGCTTTCACCCAGGAGGCTCGGGTTCGATTCCCGGTATCGGAATTCTTTTATGTAACATCATAATTTCTGTTAATAGTAAAATTTATTGATTTTACTGTTTGTATATGTTTTAAATAAATATATAACTTTCTCTACATAAACAATTTAAATGATATATTTGCATATACCAATATTTAATTATATTTATTGAAGGTAATAAACAATTATAATTTATTTAAAACTAATACAACTTTGAATATTATTCAAAATATTTCTCTTTATTATTATTATTTGTTTTAAATTATCATCTTTATATAGAGTCATCAGTCCTTATAAAGTTCTAATGATAGATATTTTTATATTTATTTTTGATGTAAATTTAATTTGAATTTAAAATAATTCAAAGTTATTTTAAATTCAAAGGAAATTTACATTAAAAATAGCAAATTTAAAATATAGATGGCAGCATATGGTTTATTTTTTTTGTATTAAGGTTCCATGGTGTAATGGTTAGCACTCTGGACTTTGAATCCAGCGATCCGAGTTCAAATCTCGGTGGAACCTGTTTCAACTTTTGTTTTAAAACATTTCAATATAATTTAGGATCGACGAAGTTCGATATGCCATATTTACATAACAAGAAGTTTTGCATATACTTATTAGTGTTTTACAAAGTAAAATGAAACAATAAAGGATATAATTTAGTAATTTTTTAAATTACTATCGTCTTTAGTAAAAACATTTAAATTTACATTGATTAAAGTAACAATACATTATCTAAACTAGTTTTGGAGTTAGTTGATCGTTTATTTACACAGAAAATTTACTTTTTACGTAGATTTCAAATAAGATAATATATATTTCTAATAATTATCTCATCCTTAATATTATTGGTCATTATGACCCATAACCCGTTAAGAGTATAAAATGCTTAAGATTCTATTAATTTTGTCTTTATTTGTACTTCTTGTCAGATAGTATTAAATCAATAATAGTTTTTCTAACTGTATTTTAATAATTGATATTTAATCTTGCCAGAAAATGATTAAACTATTTTTTATATAATAAGTTGAAATTGATTTTGAATTGGATGCAAATGAATGCTTCATATAAACGCCTATTAAAGTACATTTGTTGCAGTCGATTGAGCCGCTTCATTATGTCCGATAAAAATCGGTCATTGCATATTAAATTACGTTTCTAATGCAATTCAATTTTGCACTTTTATCTGAATAGCCGACACACGGTAATTAATAATCAATACAGCATGAAGTCCGTTTATTATTATCATACGGTTGACATGTTTATTTCGTGTATTGGATTTCGTATCCAGCGTGTTTCCTGGATATCAATCTTACGAACAGCCGTAGACAGAATTTTAAGCTACCTCGGCTTTCGAGCCGTTTATTGGACACACCTTGAAAAAAACGGCCGGATTGTTTTCAGATGCCGGCAAATGTGAATTAAAACGTCCGTGAGGAATTATCGATGTAACCATTTACTACTAACAGTAGTAGTTGACTACTATTTTGGCGTGTTCGGCAGCAGCTCCGAATTAGAGGCACAACAACAACAAGAAAAATTGCCCGATAATTACCGGATCGTGGCTTTAAATAATAACAGAAGTAAATGATGGTAGACTCGTACGTATTTAGAGTCAACGGTGAGTAAAGTTTATGTGAAAGTATCTGTGTACAGGAGTTGTCCTACAATGGAGCATCATCACGAGGCCTCCCATCTTCATCTGCGGACGCCGAGGATTTTCATCCAAACAAATTTTCCACGTTCGAGTACACGACAATCGTGCATCAATTCATATATAATAATTTAGTTTATGGCATTGTTTACTCAAAGGAATATGATTTCTTCGTGCTGATATTTCGCCCGAGACGATATTTCAGCAAAAGGGGAACTTTCACTATTAGCATGACCGTTTATCCTTTTTACAATGCCCTTCATTATGCAATCGATAGTTTATTAATCGGCGCAGTGCAACAATTACCTGAGAACTGCACTTCTGCTTTGTTGCACCGCAGCAACAACATGTACACAAACAAGTGCCGTTTAGGAGCATGCTTAAATAAACGTCATTATGAAATACTGAATGAAATATATTGCACGTGAATTCACATCGTTAGGTGGTAATTGACTGTGCATTGAAATTCGAGCTTGTTTATGGCTCGAGTCCCATTAAGCAAATAACTCAATGTGTAAATATCAGAAGTGTTCCTAATTATATTTGTTTCATCATGTTTTCTTCATCTAATAATTCATTTATTTTTCAAAAACTTCATTACATAATGTCAAGATTAATGTCATTGCAAATGTATAAAAATAAATATCACTAATATAATTTATTAATATTTCGAATGTACGATGAATCTTCATAATCAAACCTAACAAAATAAGGATAATTAATTCAACAATTAGAGAAGATAAGTAAGATTAGATCTAAATCTAGATTTTTAAACATTTTTTGTAAAGTAATTCAAGAAATTTAGTTCTTTCAATCCATTAATATATTTGAAACTATCTTATAAAAGTTAAAGTGTGTGATATGGAATAGGATAGATGATAATTAATGATACATTACAATAGTACCACAGACGCCGCGCGAGTAACAGAGGATTAATAGAAGAAAATACTATTTTGTTAAGTAACAAATATGCGTATTGTTGCATATTCACACAAAACTATGATTATTAAATCAAATTACAAGAAAATTGAACTTTTAATGTTCATAAAATTCTTTGCATTAATAATTTGAACAAACAACACGCAAACACTGCTATTAAATTAATTGCAATTCACGGAATTTGCATAACAATCGTTTCGATTTAGACTCAAATCAACATTTGAAACTAATAAAATATTGTTGCAATTTTTTTTTTAGTTCGTCGAATACGTCCGCCACCTATTTTATAGAGCAATTCGTTAAATAGTGACAGCAATATATTACCGGTCTACACGTTCGGATCATGTATGATTGTGAAAACGTGGGATGATGCAGTGACGTAAATGGAATTTGCAATTCAGGTACAATTTGTGAATCAGCTAAAGTCCAAAGTTTCGATTCGACTTGCGGTTTGTTATAACATCATTCCTGTTGCATCTCGTTACACAATGAATACACGAGAAGAATCAATGAAAAGTAAATCAATACAAGTATTTTCACTGCTCGATAGATATTTTCTAAATATAATGACGAACATATTAAAAATATGAAAAGCTACTGATTCGCATCCTTTCCTTTCTTGCAAATATTATTTACTTCTATTATATTTAAGACGTTTACGTATTATTATTAATAGATCTATGATAAAACTAGTAATTATTATCATTTGTGCCAAACTTTAACTGACAATTTGTAATCTTTTACTTTTTATATCGTGAGTTAAAAACATGTTGTTTAAAATAATGAATAGTGGTATAATAATAAGTTTTAAATAGAATTAATGTAAATCGTGATAAGTTAAGAAACTCGCGAAATTTTGTAACCTCCGATTGTTTCGGTCGATTGAATAAGGGGATCCCGGAAGTTATGGCTGCAACCTAGACTTTTCTAAGTTTATTCCGTATTGTATTCGTCGCGAATAAAAGTACTGCATCATTATTAAATATGGAATTTGGCAATATGATTAATATCACAAAGGTCAATACCATGCATTATTCAACATTTTGCAAAATAACTCATCAATCTTTAAAGTATGAGTAAAAACGTTTTGTAAAATTAACATAAATGACTCAATTAAAGTTAAGTTTAAAAATGCAGAAGTCCATTCATAAAAAAAAATAATTTAAATATATTTCTGAATAATTTTATTGTTTGATTTGAATAATGTGTTATAAACATAGGCAAAGCATATTAAAACAGAATTAATACTATCAATAATTATTCTTGTTTCTACACTTTATTAAATTTTATTAAGGTTTTCAATAAAAACAAATTTGTTCAAAGGAACAATTATTATTATTTATATCACATTTTTAATAGTGATTTGGGAAGAGCATAAAAATTTGTAATTTCTATATGAACTGAAGTATCCTTCGAATAGAACAATTGTATCTTGGAATGGAATCGAATGTACATTAGATTT